GGCGTGCGGACCGGCGGCTCCGGGGCGGCGGCGGCACCAGCGTCGCGTGGTGTCTGGACTTTCCCTCCCTTCTTTCTGGTTAGAAGAAGTAAAATTGTGTGATTAGCATTAAATGACAGTTGCCGTGACTTTCGAACGTGCACACCGCGAGCGTGCTGTCCCAGAGCTTCCTTCAGCGGCCTCCGCGTGGACGACGTGGCCTCCTGGGCCCCTCGGCAAAGCCGGCCGGTCCCCCTGGGACCTGGGGGCATGACCCTCCCCCCCAGGAGTCGGCGGCCCTCGGGCGAGTGGAACTCGACGGCAGGGTCACGGCCACCGTGAAATCCAGGAGGAGGAATAGACGCTGAGCTGTCGCTTCCTCTCATCGACCTTGGCCAACGCTGAGCTGCGCCTGGCTCACGCGCTCACACTCGCCGGCCCGTCCGGCTGCAGGGCCAGGCAGCACGAGGGCGCCGGAGCCGGCCGCCTGTCCCCGCACCCAGGGCGCCCCCCAAGTCACTCGGGGGTGCTGAGCAGCCCGGGCCAGCCCGGCCCCCTTTCCCTGCGGCCGCCATCCCTGCGTGGGGTGGGTGACCATCCCCCGACCACGCTGAGATTAGGGACTCTGCCGTCTCTGGCACCTGAGGCCCCTTGTGACTGCAGCCGACACTGCCAGGCAGGGGCCCCCGTGGGATTCTCTGACGGCCCCCTCAGGGCCACGGTGACGCCTGGGAACAGAGGGGCGAAGGCACTGCCACGTCGCCTCGTGAAACCGCCCAGGCGGCCTCTGCCGGGGGCTTTACTGCCCCGCGCCCGGGCGGCCCTGCCGGATTTCCACAACGCGTCCGTTCTCTGGGGAGGCGGCCGGGGGGCTTGTTCTGATAAGCTGCTGTCCTCCGGGTGTCCGAGGTCCCCAGGGAGAGGTGGTGGACGAGCGGCCGGCAGCAGAGGGAAGTGCACGCCGCACACAAGCCTGGGCCCCTCTGTTCCCGTACTGAGGGGCCCGGTCCCCTCCCCTGTCCCTTCACCGTGAAATTCTCCACACACCCCTTTTCCTGTCCAGCTCCTCATTCGCCCTGTCATCTGGCCATTCCTGAGAAGGTCGCCTCCTTCACCTTATGAATTATCAATGGAGCGGCTTTCACAGAGCGGCTGGCGACACCGCGAGATCCACCTGCTCGACGGCGAAGTCCCACGGGACTGCCCGTCTCCGACGTAACGAAACGAAAATGCACGTAGCATAACAGCGATATCGGAAAGGAGCAGACAGAGTGCGCGGCCCTCGCCTTCTGTTTATTGTTTAATTAAAAGAAAGTCACTATCTTCAAAAAAATCGTCTTAGAGAGCCTCGGGGCTGACAATAGTGTGACGTCCAGCAAAATAACCTCAAGTTAATTCTGCCCTTAAAAGACCTCACTGTGTGGACTCTTTATGACACGATCACACCAGAGGGACCTCGGGATAAGCTCTGTGCCTGAGCCCGCTCACGACACCGTCAAACGCCAGCCCGGGGCGCACCCGCGGGTCCACGCGCCGTTTCGGGGTGATCAAAGCAGGTCATTTTGCCCAAGAGGAATCAACAAAAACAGCACATCGGGCTTCCGAGGGCACAGACACCTGTCAGGAGCACTTTATCCCAGTGTCCATGGAAGAATTTTCGTAGGAAACAGTTATGGCAGCCGATTAAAGAGCGCGCGTCACCAAGCACACCGGCGGGAGGGACAGGAGGCAGGCCTGTCCCTGAGCGTCCCCGAACCTCCAGAACTCCCGGGGAGCCCCGGCTCAGAGAGTCCCGCCAGCATATTGACTCCCCGCTGTGACCGTGCCTCCCTGGGACCCGATGGTGGGAATCCGTCCACCCTTCACTACTGATCATAATGTGAAACCTCGCGTGGACGTGACTTGATGATAACGATGAAAATAATAACAAAAAGAAGAAGATGAGATCCAGCTACAGAATAGACAGAAGAGTACGTGCGGGGTGCGGGGTGCTGGGTGCGGGGTGAGTCGCTGGACAAGACATGCAGCCAGGTCCGCTGCGCCTGCCCGGCCCCGCGGACGGGGGGAGGGGGCCGGCTTCACCGCCATTAGGAATCGACAGGTACGTAGCACGCAATCTGAGGTGACGCAGGTTCGGGAAAACTCGTCTCCGGTAAAGGCCGTTGCTCATCAGTCGAACCCAGTTACGTGGACAGAGGCAAGATGCCGGATTCGAGAGAAAAGACCCCGCTTCCCCCCGCCTTTCCGTCCAACGCAGTCATTGAGGCGTCTCACAAAGAAGCGGCAAATGCCTCGCTGTGTATTTACCGAGCCGCTCTCGTTAAGAATGGGATTGTGAAGTCGCACAAGCTCTCCGGAAGGATCCCAGGAACTGGATAAGCCCTGCCAGCCTGCAAGCAGCTTTCCTCCACCGGCTACAAGCTGCAGGAGCGGGGCACTGGGTCGCACGCGCCTCTGCAGCCCCAGACACTGAGGGCGCGGACGCTTCTGACCCCTCTGCACCTCGGCAAAGCAAAGCTCCGCAAAGCACTGAGATGAATGGAAGGACACAGAGACTCGGCATTTATTTCCGGGTCTTGTGACCGAAAGAACACGTCGCCTGCTCGCATTCGGCTGACGGGGACGTTAAGTCCAAGGGGGGTTCACAAAGAAATCCCCACGGCCCTGCGTAGCGTCAGCCTGCAAAGCACCGACCTGTGCTTCCCCTCGGGGAACTCGGTCCTTTTACACGCCGTCCTTCCTGCAGCCCCCCAACCCCCCACCTCCGGAAGCAGGCAAAAGCCTCTTGAGCCTCTTAAGAAGAAGGACCTACTCAGAATTTAACAGAAAGGCTCGCGTGGCATTTTATATGCGCAGCACAGAGAAACAGCTTTAACGACAGAAGTGGGGGCGTCGCCTCTCTGCAGAGAAGTGAGATAAAGGATCCCTACTTCTCCTGGAAGCAAAGGGCTGAGGACCTGCCCTCGGCGCCCTTGGCGAGTCGCTCGGCGCCCTTGGCGAGTCGCTCTGCCCAACGCCCTTGGCCGTGCGCACACCGCAAACCTCAGCCACGCGGTTGGGGTTTGCTGTTTGGTCACCATCAAAGGGTTAAGAAAAATCAAGGGTTTTTGCCTGAATCTTTCCCATCAGTCACACAGCGGATCTGCACAAGCAGAAAAACAAATGTGAGCTCGCCACCAAATTAAACAGTGAGAAATACGAGCGTAATGCCAGACGACGTGACTCAATTCATAACTCCCCCCCTCAAAAAAAATGCTGATGGCTACTTTTTAGGGGTGAATGTGAGCTGAAAAGAAAGAGTATCTTCCAGAATAACTGAGTTAATTTGATAAGCGAAAGTTCATCGGGTTCAACCCCGTCCTCAGTGGGGAAATTCTGATCTAAAGCAAAGAGGGACGTGCCCAGTTTTAAGGACATTGTTCCTGGGACTTAAGTAAAACTGCAACTCTGCAGGAGACGTCGTGAGAAGCTGGTCGCCTAACTCGGCCCCTGGTGGAAGGGCAGAGGGAGCCCGTGTCAGGATGGGGAACGCGTCCGTCCGCAGACAGCACGCCCCCCGGCTGTCCCCGTCCCGGACCCGCACGGTCACTGGGTCGCGGTTCTAAACAATCGAGTTGTGAATAAAACGGAACCAGTATTCGAAGCATGTGAAACGTGATTTTGATTCAAAATGACTCTTTTCAGCTGACTGCTGAACACGTCTCTCGCGTCCAAACAGAGTTACGTGTTGGCTTTTCCAGTTTCGGATTCGAGTCTCCTTTGAACGAGCCGACCGTGAGCAGCCCCTGGAGAGGGGTCGCGCTGGGCCTGGGTTGACATGACCGTGAAAACCCTACCGTTGAGGTCGCCGCATCTCGTTCCAAAACAAACCTTAAATGCAGGCGCATTTAACGTAACTAAACTGCATTTAAAGGTTTACTGCCGAACCAAAACACGAAACACGTTCTTAGGACAAACAAATATTCATTTAAAACAACCGTGACTGAGTTTAGGATTTGATCTCTCTGTCTCTGTCTCTGTCTATCTCTGTCTGTCTGTCTCTCTCTCTCTCTAAACTCTCCCTCTAAACAGCATACTCCTGAGATAAAGCAGGATAATTCTAAATACTAAAGCTTTAATCTCTGCACTGCTTGGTAATTTTTGTAAGTTATTGGCTTTAGAAGCGTGCGTGTGTGCGTGTGTGCGTGCGTGCGTGCGTGTGATGTAAATCAACACAGACTCAGCAACTTAAAAGCAAATGTGTCAGTTTCAGGTAAATAGTTCCTACAATTTCTTTGAGAAAAATGTGTTCTTTGTTACCATAAAAATAAGTGTGTTAATATTTTCTTCTCGGATTCCCAGAATTCCACTCTTTAACGATTGTAAGGAATCACCTCTATTTAATTACGTATTGGAGATTCTTCAGACCGCGAACGGAAGTGCAAACGACATCGGGGAAAAACGGATTTTTGCTCAAAGCATATTTTTAGTTTATTATTCTGAGATAAAGCAGAATCATTCTTTATATAATCTGCTCATCTGCAGATAGAAAAAACTCTCGATTCTCGTGAAATAACTTTGTCGAAAGCTCTTTGAGATAGCCGTAGATTCCCACGAAGCTGTGAGAATCCTCCTCAATCTCCCGACGTTAACGCCTGGCAAAGCCACAATGCAACAGCTGACGTCGACGCCGACACACGCACGGGGCACGCGTCGCACGCGTGGACTCGGGGGGCCGTGTGGGCTGGGCTCGAAGCAGCTCGTTTCTGCTTCAGCGTCTCATCTCGGCTTTACTTTCGAATGCGTCTGTGCTGTGTCCCCCAGGCTCTGCTCCTTCCTTACGGCTCTATTTCTTGGCTACAGAAACACGTTCGCCCCTTCGAATTTTGTTGCCTCGCTCATGAACTCCTCGCTAGCGGAGAGCTTTGTCTTTGCTTTGGTTTCTGGGGCACATTTATCCTCTCCCAGGAAAAGACACAAATATAAACAGACATTCCAGTGCGCATTCATGGGGTTTTTTAAGACACCAGGGAGAATAGATTAATATAAATACTAAGCTTAAAAACTGTCATAAAAGCTGAGCCTTTAAAATTGGCTTATTAAAATATTTGTTTTTTTTTTTTAAAGCTCAGATTTAAACTAAGGTTATGAGTTATTGTGCTCTGCTCACAGTTTACTTTATGATCTTTTTGCCAGGCAAAAGGAATCTGGCATCTGTGCTGAGCACGGATGATGAAAACTCAGTTCTTTCAGGATCAAGACTTGTCTGAAAATAGTGCAGTTTTTCAGAAAAGCTCAGTAACATACTATTTTTTAAAGGACCTCAAACAGCCACTCTCAACGTCCCACCTCCAGCCCCTACGCAGGCCAGATGGGTCGCAAGACTTACTTTCCGTGAGGCTGCAAGGGTTACTCCTCACACGTAAGGGAACAATATCCCCATAACGGAGGTCGGCATTTTACACCGAGTCTTACCGATGGGCGTTTTAGAACCAAACGCTGCTTATCATTCAGGTAGCTCGGCCGCTCATTTTACTTCTGACCAATCGCACGCTCTGCCGACATTTCTGCATTTCTGTTCTCCGTGGGGAATTAATTTTCTTTTGAGACCAGTTAGCATTCGGAATACAGCAGTTAACAAACACCTCCGAGGAACTAAATTTTCACGTGGGAGGAAAAGGCTTCCACGTATCGGACGGTGAGGGGTCACACTCCGTTCTCCAGAATAACTGCAAGTTCTCAGAAAAAAAAGAATTTGCTCAGCAGGGTAACCGACTGAAAATCTATGCATACTTTGCAGAAGTTAGAGAAGGTTTTTTTTTTTTTTCGTAATCAAAAAGCAGAAAAATGGGGGGAAATGTCTAATAAGTAACGGTCACGCTCCCCATCCTCCAGGCCAGGCGCTGGCGACCCTGCTCCCGAGGCTCAGGCGTCTAATGAAAACACCGAAAACTCCTTTGAGATTTTTCAATTAGATGAAGCCAACTGACTGTCCGAAGACACCTGATTTATTGTCTACCTGTGTTTTTAAATATCAGGCCAAAGGAGAAAGTCAGGATGAATATCGGCCCCGGCCGTACCCCGCCATTTCCTGTTTCTCTCTTTCTATCAAAAGACAGCTGAGGCTTTCGGTTGCTGCTGCCCGTCTGGACACAGCTCTTTTTCATACACGTGAAAACGTCTCACAGTAGACGTTACAATCGCCTACCATTCATTCAAAGGTCTATAACTAATGTTTCTTTAAAATGTTACACATAAATGACAAATGTCATTCAGCAACATTTCCTGGAAATCAAACCGAGGCTGATTACATTTATACTCATAGAGACTAAAGAGTTAAAGACAAAAAGAATACAAAGTATTTGCCTCGTGTGCCTGATCAGGACAAGGCGGGGTGTCCAGGATCCTTCCTGCACTGAGAACTTTCGTGCCCCCTTCTCTCGTGCAGAGCGGCTATCTGTTTGCCTAAAGAGACTGGTTTATTGGAACTAGTCAGCTCTATGTAAGTATAAGAAAATAAAAATAAAAATAAATGGGCCCCGTTTAGATCACCTACTCTCCAGCTAAATGTGTTATCAGTTACATTTTAAGATTTTTTTTTCCAAACTCTTAACACTTACCATTTATTCATTACAAGTACTGCTTTTTGTGTTTATATAATCTTTCACTGTGATCTATGTCTGATCCTCTAAGTTTTAGGGATGCCGTTGTTTTGCGATGGATTTTAAGGGATCCTGCTAACTTCTGCATTAAGGTGTAGCTCTCGGCATTTGCTTTCAATAATTTTCTGGAGTAAATCTTAATGAACATTCTGTTGACATTTTCCTTAAACAAAACTACACGGGTATGTTTTAAAAAAATGACATTCCTCGTATTTGTTCTTATTTCAGACATGCTGTTAACCGTGAATGGTATGAAGGGCAAATGGAATTAACTAACACAAGCTCATAATTCAGGCAGCAAAACCCAGAATTAACGTATTACTGCACTGCGCCATTGCAATGCTCGGCCAGCCCAAACCCCCGTCCCTAGAGAAATATGCGATGGAGACACTTTCCATCTGCTTTTGACAAAGACGGGAGAAGATTCTCGTAAGTTATTCTCTGTGAAAATTCTTTGTTAAAGACCTATAAAACGATCTTTATTTTGGAGGGCTATTTCATCAGGAAAATTTTCAGTGGCACAGAAATAAAAAGCAAAATAAATAAAATCCACCTGTGTCTGACCAGCCTTTCGTGGGCACAATAAAAACACCTGCAGATATCATAGAACCCCATTAAAAAAAAAAGAAAAGAAAAAGAAAGAAAAATAGGTGTGTTTGGGACACTGGGCGACCGCGTGCTCCTGATTAAGCTAAACTCCTGTGCGAAGTAGAAATAAAAACAAAGCGCAAAGTGAGCAAGGAACTAAAACTAAAGCATGCGGAGTAGGAAGGATTTACCCTCCCGGGCCCCGCGCGCTCCAATAAATCTTGCGCCCTTCCACCGTCCGCCAGCCGCGAGCCCCACAGTCCTCGGGAACGGACGGCGCCTCCGCTGCAGCCAGAGCTCGGCCGAAGGCGTCTGGCGAACAGGCGCCGGAGCAGAAACCCCTGCGCGCCGCCCCAGAGGAAGCCGAGCTTCCAGTGCTCTCGGCGGCTGCGTCCCCTTCGCCTGCGCCCGCGGCCATTTCCCCCGAACCTGTTTCCCAGCCTGGATCCCCGGACCCCTCCGCGGGGCTGGACGCCGAGGGGGACGCCGTGCGCGCAGAGTCCCCTCCCAAGACTCTCTGGGTTCAAGGCCGAGGGACCAGAGGCTCCCAGCTCCGAGGGCGGCTCCACCTGCCTGCGGGCAGCCAGGTTGCCAGCGGTGGTGTCCGGCGCGGCCTGCGCGCCGCGATCCGCGCGCATCGGCCTCGGCCCGGTCCCCTGCGCTCCCGGCGCGGGGCCGTCCCCGGCTCCCCCCGCTGCGCTGGCCCCGGGGCCGTCAGCGTCGGGCAGTGTCCTCCCGCCCTCTCCCGGCAAACCTGGGCGCCGCGGGTGTGCACTTCTGAGCGCCCACGGGGCCGACCGAAGCTCGGGCCGCGACGCCTCGCACGAGCCACGGGGCAGAACCGGGTGTTCGCTCCGCGAGCAAAGGGCAGCTTCCCCGGGCGGCCAGCGCTCTAAGCGACGCAAAGGGCAGCCGGTCCCCGTCTCTCTGCCCCTGGCTGGCCCCAGGTGGTTCTTCTGATGCTCACTCCCGCGACAGTGTCTCACAGACCCCCACCTCCCTGGCACCAAGAATGGAAAATGCGACAGTCGCCAGTCCGCCCGTTCCCGACTGACATCCTGCATGGGAGCTGGCGAAGGGCGCCCGGGGCGTCCCTGGCACCAGGGAGCTTCGAGCCGACCCCCATCCGTTGCTAGGAGGTAGCGCGCACCACGTCGCGCCGCCGTTTTAGCACCTACCCTGGCGCGCCGGTCCGGACGTGGGCGGCGCGGCGCTAGTGCGAGGCGGACATGGACCACGCGCCCTCCATGCGCCACACCGAGAAGGCGTAGCTGAGGCGCTCGTGGGCCACGTAGCTGCAGCTGGTCATCTTATTGTCCATCTCGTCGCTCTGCAGGACCTGGTAGAGGAAGTCTATGTACCTGGCGGCCAGCTTCAGCGTCTGGATCTTGCTGAGCTTGTCCGAGGGCAGAGTGGGGATGATCTTGCGCAGCGCGGCGAAGGCCTCGTTGAGCGACTGGGTGCGCTGGCGCTCGCGCACGTTGGCCAGGATGCGCTGGCTCTGCAGCTCCTCGAAGGACTGCGCGCTGGGGCTGCCCTTCTTGCCGCGCTTGCCCGGGGTCGGGCTGCCATCTTCGCTCGACTTCTTGCTGTAGCGCCGCTTCCGGCCGAAGCGCTTGGGCTGCCGCTCGAGCTCCTCCTCGCTGGTGCCCAGGCTGTCCACGGGGGACACGGGCGAGCTGGAGCCCTCCTCCATGGCGCCCGCCCGGCGCGCGTGGGGCCGGAGGCGCAGGGCGCCGAGCGCGCGCCGCTGGCCGAGCCCGCGCTCTCCGACTTGCTCGGAAGGCTCTGATTTCAAGGCCGGCTCGTGCGAAACCGAGGGCTCCGGGAGAGGAAGTTATTCTGACTTTTTTGGAAACTCTAGCCGGGCTGGGTTGCTAAATAGTTGTCAGGAGCGAGGGCGGCGCGCTGATTGGCCGGCGCGGCCGGGGGCCGGACAAGTCCCGGGGCCTCCGCGG